GGGGACATCAGGGACATGGCTGGGGACACAGATGGGACATGGCTGGGGACACAGGGGACATGGGGGACGTGGCTGTTCTGGGCCAGCTCCTCCAGCAGACTGCGGTGCTTGGCTGGGGACATCAGGGACATCAAGGACATGGGGACACTTGGGGACATGGGGGACATAGGATTCAGCCATGGCTGATGAACAGGGGACATCAGGGGACATCAGGGACATGGGGGACACAGTGTGAGGGACAGGGGACACGGCCATGGGTGACAGGAGTGACACGGGACGGAGCCGTGTATGACGTGAGTGCTCCTGCTCTCAGCCACACGAGGGACAGGGGACTCAGCCACCTGTGTCACCAGTGTCCCCAGTGTCCCCAGCCTCGGCCACTGGTGCCAGGTCCAGCCCCGGCCTCTGCCACCATCACAAATGTCACAAATGTCCCCAGACTCAGTCACTCATGTCACGAGTGTCCCTGGGCTCAGTCCCCGGTGCCAGCCCAACCCCATCCTCAGCCAGTGGTGTCACAACTGTCCCCAGCCTCAGTCCCTGGTGTCACCAGTGTCACTGCCTCAGCCACAGCTGTCACCAGTGTCTCCAACCTCAGTCCCCGGTGTCACCGGTGTCCCTGCCTCAGCCACAAGTGTCACCAGTGTCCCTGGACTCAGTCCCTGGTGTCACGACTGTCCCCAGCCCCAGTCCCCGCTGTCACGACTGTCCCCAGCCCCAGTCCCCGCTGTCACGACTGTCCCCAGCCCCAGTCCCCGCTGTCACGACTGTCCCCAGCCCCAGTCCCTGGTGTCACCAGTGTCCCCAGCCCCAGTCCCCGCTGTCACCGCGTCCCCGGGCTCAGTCCCGGTGCCAGCCCAGCCCCCGGCCGTGACTCATGTGACGCTCACGGGATGTGACAGGGACCGAGCAGGGACCGACGGCGGCTGCTCCGTGTCCCCCCCGTGTCCCCCCCGCTGCTGCCACCACCCAGCGCGGAGGGGGGGCTCGCACAGCCCCTCCCCGACCCCCCCTTTGCACGGGGCTGTTTGCACGCGCACCCCAAATTCTCACTGACCCCCCCTTTGCACACTCACCCCAAATTCAGTG